TTATATTTGTGAGCTATGTAGTTTATTTACGCTGACTGTTTCCGGCAATATATAGGCCTCTTATTTCATGAAATAGTTGATTTATTTATTTTTTGACGCCACATATGTGTTACTGTCAGGTGTTTTGATAATTTATATTCTTCAAATATTTTAAGGTTTATTTCTATCCTTGGCCGTAAATGGTTATTTAATGCAACCACAAAATAGTGGAGAATAGCTAATGTGATGAAAATTCAATTCTTGCCTAATTAATTGCCTTTGGACCATTAACAAATGAAAAACCAACATTAATGGTTCCCATTTTTTTTTTTACGTTTTCCACACTCACAATTTACTTGCGATATGACGGGCTGCAGTTTCTAAATTAGTTTCCACAATTGGATATTCTGCCAGGCCAAGCGACGCACAAACACGTAATTTCCGCTCTGTTCAGAATTAGAGTATAGGTAGCTCATTTTTATGTTTTAATAAATCCGATTACGCTGCCATTAACATTACATTGTGGATGGGAGAAAATCCGAAAATTCAATTTATTCTACCTGCCATCACTGGCGCCTCATTTTTTACCATCATCGCTAGCGGGTTAGATTTTATCTAACATCCATTTCTTTGCAATAAAACTATAATTTTTCAAACAGAGGTTTGGTATATTAATTAAATTGATTTTTAATAATTTTATATGAATGTTGTTTTAATAAAAACACCAAAATACAAATGATACAAATTGAAAATCTATCAAAATTAAAAAAATTTTGACATACGCCGTCACTCGCGTCGTTTGATTGTTCCTAACATTCACACGCTCGCGTGTTTGATTCGTACTAACAATATGCCGTTTTGGCACAAAAACAGAAACATCGCCCAGTGGACTATACATGCGTGTAGTAGGTGGGGTCATAAAAGCATTCCTGGATACACGGCAAAAATAATGAAAAATTGTAAAAATTATGACAAATTTATAAAAAATGTTATATTTTTTCTAGGGACGCTAGCGATGGCGTATTATGCTTAAACTATATGAAAAACATATTTATAAGTGCGCGATTTATTATAATGGCGTGCGATGGGGTGGTTTTTAACTGATTGGCTGTATATAATGTGTATTGAAATTAGCGGTTATTAGAGGCCCCTTTTTACTGAACAGCAACTTGAATAAAACGGAAAATTGAATTCAGCACGATAGCGATTGCGATCGCGGCACTTCCACCATATAATTATTATAGGCATTGGATAGAGGTCCAAAAATTCGGATCTTTAGTGTCCATACTAAAGATCCGATAATTTTCGGATTGTGTAGTGCTACTTTGGTTTTCCAGGAGGAAAGCGGTTGATTTCGGAATTTTCGGAATACTCGGGCGCCACCCTTAGGATTAATGTGGTTAAGGGTCCACGTGCTCTAGGTAGCTTTTAAACAGTGGAGACGGAAAACCAGGTGTCCCTACGCATTTCCCAAAAATGAAACACACAATCCAACCAAGAAAGTAGTTTTTATTGACTACCCAATAATTTATAATACAAAAAGGAAATGCAAGAAAACTTAATTAAGATACAGGATTAATAAAAGGAAATGCTAAGCGGAGAGTGAGGGGGAGCGAACGAAGTGCGTGTGCGTGTCGGATTAGCCGCGTGAATTTAACGGTTCGAGATTACGGTACGGTGACGGTTACGGTAACGGTTAATCGGTAACGGAAAGCTCCAGGAACCAGGGGCCTTATTCTGTAGGGAACGAACCGTTCGATTCGGTAGAATTTCTTCGATTGTGACGTCATTTTCGGTATAGTTTTCGCGCTACCAAACCAAAAATGACGACACAATCGAAAAAATTCTACCGAATCGAACGGTTCGTTCCTTACAGAATAAGGCCCCTGGTTCCTGGAGCTTTCCGTTACCGATTAACCGTTACCGTAACCAGGATCGGTCCAGTATCTACACCGTCAGCTTGCAGGATTCGGCCTTTGGGCCTCGTGCGCGAATTTCTTACTCCGAGCAGAATGCAGGTCAGAGAGAAAAGGTGTGAAGAGTAAAGAGCACTACCCTGGTCGTATCACAGCCCGTAGCCCTATTTACTCTGTCACGGAACGAACGGAGCTGCCCTGTGTATGTGTTCCAGCCCGCAGTTCCGGTCACTCCGTCCACAGAAAAGAGAAAGAAGGACTGTGTAGAATAAAGAGCGACACCCTGTCACCAGCCCGTAGCGTCCTTTATTCTGTCACGGAAGGAGCAGAGCTGCCCTGTCCATATTCCAGCCAGCACCTCCGGTCAACCCGTGTACAGAAGAGAGAAAGAAGAAATGTGTAGAATAAAGAGCGCCACCCTGTCACCAGCCCGTAGCGTCCTTTATTCTGTCACGGCAGGAGCAGAGCTGCCCTGTCCGTATTCCAGCCAGCAGCTCCGGTCAACCCGTGTACAGAAGAGAGAAAGAAGAAATGTGTAGAATAAAGAGCGCCACCCTGTCACCAGTCCGTAGCGTCCTTTATTCTGTCACGGAAGGAGCAGAGCTGCCCTGTCCGTATTCCAGCCAGCAGCTCCGGTCAACACGTGTACCGAAGAGAGAAAGAATAAATACCTGCATTCTTACCCGTACTTACATTAAACGGTCGGCTCACATCTGGCGTCGCGGCGGTACTGGCGGCGGCGGCGGCGACGGTGGTTTTACCTTACCGGTCGGCTGCGGCAGGTCGGAGCGGTCTGGTAGGTCTGGTCGGTTTCGGAGCTCGGAGAGAAGTGTCCAAACGCAGTGCGTGCTGCTATATTTATAAGCGGGAGGCACCGCGTCATGTCGTCGTCGATAGGCAGCACAGATACCAGCGGTGGGGAATTGAGTTTTTGAAGCGCGTCGCGCACGTCGGTTTGTACTGGAGAGTGCTTTGCAACCGAGGTCACGCGTAGCCAAAAAATATCAGTAGGAAATTAATTTAATTAACGGAAACGCGGATAAAACAGTAAAATCTAGTAACCTACGTTACACACCCCCTCCTCTTCGGAAAAAATATTTTAACCTAAAATATTTTATTAGATTAATAGTCTACAATTCAAATACCATTGAATTCCCTAAAACAAAAATAATAAGAATGAAAATAAACTCACTAAAAAAAAAACTCTTCTTCCAAAGCTTCTAGCTGTGGACGATCCATTGTGTCGAGGATGGTTACAACTGGTGGCTCCTCAGGCGCCCCCTGGCACCTCACCAGCGATTCGGTTTCACCCCGGAGCCGGCACGGCTCGTGTCGTGGCTCATTTGTCCATAAGGACATCCACAAACCCTGCAGGGCCGGAAACGGAGAAGGGCCTTGCAACAACGGTCCCCTTCTTCCACTGTCGCTTCGTCGGTATGCCTGCGGGTACTGGACCGTCTGGGTGGGAGACGATTCCCTTCACTCCCTTCGGGCACGGTGTCGGCGAGTGTCCTAACCAGATTGGTCCGATGCGGAACGGAGTCGTGCGGATTGTTTGTTACGTGAATTACCCGAGGAGCGGGGCCTGGTAGCTTCAGCTACCAAGCCGCCGACGGCTGCTTCCGGCTGAGAGGCCTTTGGCTTTTGTTTCGAGCACTGGCATTCTTTTGACATCCACCCCATGCGGCCGCAACGAGAACAAAACACCACTGGCTTGTTTTTGCAGGACTCCCGGCGGTGTCCAGGATGTCCACACCTCCAGCACAGACCGTGATCTACTGGTAAGTAGATGTCGTCGTTGGGGTGACGGGGGTTTGCGGTCGGCTTTCTGGTCGGGGTGTCGATTATTTGTTGCGAAGGGTGGTCGGACGTTACGGATGACGACGGGGCGGATACGGATGCGGATGTCCGACGGTGTTTAGATATTGTGGATGGCGGGCTAGGGGAGCGGCCGTATACGGTCTGTCCAAAAGTATCGTCGAAGGGGTCGAACTGGTCGAAGTCGGTATAAAACTGTTCTGGCGAGCGCCGTACGGGTGGGTCTACGGAATCAGCTCCCGAGTACAATGATTCGGTACCAGCTTCGACTGTATCAATAGCGGGGATCATATCGGATACGGTAGACGGTGAGTCTTGCCTTGGAGCGGTTTTTAGCAGGGTGTTCGGTGTCGGTATATTTTCGGTATCCGGCAGCGGTATATCTTCGGTGTTCGGTGGCGGTAAATCTTCGGTTTTCGGTGGCGGTATATCTTCGGTATTCGGTGGCGGTATATCTTCGGTGGCATCTGCCATTGCGTCACTGATGTCCCGTTCGGGACTACTCAGGCGTATTTCCAACACCGGACTCGTGGACATCTTCGATCTTGAAAAGAAAACGGTCATACTACTGAAGTAACAAAACAAAAAAAAACGGATTCCTGGAGCTTTGGTTATTGACCGTAAAACGGACGGATTGCCCATAGAATAAGAATTACCCAAACGAAACTTTTATTCTTGAAAACAAAACAGAAAATAACAAGTGCACTCTTAATAAAAAAATATAACAACAGGAACGGAGTATTCAGATATCACAAAAGAAAATGCATTCTGGCAGGATAAATATCACAAAATAAAATAAAACGTATTCTCGGAGGAAAAGGGCAACTTATAGCGGGGTGGACGGAACGGAGATGAAAACGGAGGATCCGTCACGGGCCCTTAGGCAGAGACGGTATCGGCGGTAGTTCTGAGTATCAGACGGTCGGAGTCGCATCAACGCGGCCCTATATGCGGCTGGCCATGAATGGCAGTCGCGGTTGCATCGAGCCATATCGGCCACATCCGCCTCGGTAGGCGATTCAATTTCTTGGGCGTGTTCCTCTGGGAGCCGGTCATTCGGAGAAATTGGGGCGTACAAACGGCTCTGGGTGGCTCCAGGCCGTGGGGCCGTGCGGAGCTGCCGTCGGTACGGACCTGGTCGGCAGGAGTCATTACGGCTCCAGGTGGCAAGGGGAGCTCCATAATTCGTCGGGGTGGTCTAGGGTGACCCTTCGCAGACCACCAAGCCCACAAATTTGGGTGGAGACGCGACCAATATGTTGTCCCCGGAACTTCGCCCTGCGGCTGCTAAATGTTATCCGGGCGGCTGGTAGAGGGTAGCACGGACCTGCGGCCAGTGACAGTGGCCGGGGCGGAGGTAGTTGGGCAGTGCGGGGCCGGAATCACTAGTTCGGACAGGATCCGTATCTTGCGTGCGGGGCAACGGCGGGATTCAGTGCGACTCGGATCGGTTACTGGCGGACGGCGGTGTTCGATACGACTTGGAACGGTTACTGGAGGACGGCGGGGTTCGTTACTGTTCGGAACGGTTACTGCGGGACGGCAGTGTTCGGTATGTTCCGGAATGGTTGCTGGCGATGGAATGCTTGGCCCAGGTCTCGGGGACGCGTCAGCGGTTACGGTGGAGACGCGTGCTCGTGGTGGGGGATCGGAGAAGCGGGAGCGCAGTGCGCGCGCTGCCCGTCTGACCGTATTTAAGCGGATTTGCGCTTCCCGCGCTCGGCGGGCACTATCCTGTCGGGGAATGAAAACCTGTGCAGGATCTGGCCGTGAATGTCTTGGCGGATCCATGACTTTTACGATCTAGAACGGAAGAGAAAGAAAATTGTTACATGTAGGCCGGCTTAAGGTCTTTAATATGAATATGTCGGAGCTTTCTATCGGAACCGTCCCGTAAATCGTAAACCACGGGTGACACGACTTTTGTTACGGTATAAGGTCCGGAGTATTTCGGTGCTAGCTTTGCGGCAAATCCTCTAGCTGCGGAGGAGAGCGGATTCTCCTTTCTCATTACTTGATCTCCTACATGACACTTCCAATCTCGGCGGCGCAGGTTGTAGTTATGGCTCTGAGCCGTGAAGGCTCGGCCAAGATTGACACGGACGAGTTCAAAAACGTCCTGCAGTTGTTTCAAACGTCCAGATCGTGCGATGACGTCTGCAGGTTCGGTATCTTCCGGTTGAGCATCTTCCGGTACGGGATCACGGTATAACGCTTTGGGCTGATCTAGTTCTCGGCCAAAATTCAGGAAAGCTGGTGAAAATCCGGTTGAATCCTGTCGGGAACTATTCAGAGCGAAAGCGAGTTCGGACAGGTGGGCGTCCCATTTCCGGTGATTCTCGTCACAAAACTGGGCGATCATGACCTTAATTGTTTTGTTAGTGCGTTCTACAGGATTCGCTTGGGGAGTGTAGACTGGGGTAAGGCGGTGAGCGATACCCATTTCCTGTAGAAGGTCTTTGAATGGTCGCCCGGTATATTGGGTTCCATTATCCGTCAGGACAGTATGAGGACACCCAAATTTAGTGATCACCTGCTTGTAGAGAGCCTGTGTAACTGCTCTGGAAGTTGCTTGTCGGATCGGTCGGCACTCTACCCATTTTGTGAATCGGTCCTGGAACATAACCAGGAAGTTATTACCTTTCGAGGAACGAGGAAAAGGGCCTATCAGATCGGAAGTGACGGTTTCCCATGGTTGTCGGTTTCGGGACGGGTGCATCTTACCGGGAATCTGTTGTTGTGACGGCTTATACCGTTGGCAGGACGGACAGCTTCTAACATAGCGTGCTATATCTCTCATCATTCCTGGCCAATAGTATTTACGGCAATTTCTGGATGTGGTTTTGGCAATGCCTCGGTGTCCGGCCATAGGGGAGTCATGATTTTCTTCCATAATGGCCGGGCGGGCGTCTTTGGGAACGCAAAGTTTCCACGGATCGGATAATTCGGTTTCGGATAGATCGGTTAAGTCCCAGAAATGTCGGTATAGTTGTCCATTTTTAACACAAAAGTCTGGAAAGGCGGCGGGATTGTTTTCTACGGAAGTTTTCTTTGCCGTGTACCAAGCACACGGTGCGAAATTTTCCAGACTTAAAATCGGTTCCGGTTCGAGGTATTCCTCGCCAGGTATCGGGTCTCGGGATAGAGCATCAGCAACTTTATTGAGGACTCCTTTGCGATATTTGATCTCAAAGTCAAATTGCTGTAGATAAATGCTCCAACGAGCTAGTCTTCCGGACGGACTTTTCATCGAATGCAGCCATTTCAAGCTTTGATGATCGGTAACGACGGTGAATCGGTAGCATTCTAGATATGGTCGCATCTTCTCGATTCCCCAAACGATTGCGAGACATTCTTTTTCGGTGACGGAAAACTTTTTCTCTACTGGACTGAGAGTACGGCTGGTGTAAGCTATAACATGATCGCCATCGGTTCCATGTTGTATCAATGCCGCACCTAACCCATTATCGGATGCATCGGTCTGCAATACGAAAGGCTTCGAAAAATCGGGACAAGCCAGTATTGGGGCTTCGGTAAGGCATGTTTTGAGCTGTTCGAAAGCCGCTTGTTCTACCTCGGTCCAAGTCCAGCGGACTCCTTTCTTAAGTAATCGGTTTACCGGGCTGGCTATTTGGAAAAGTTCGGTACAAAACGGCGGTACCAAGAAGCCACGCCTAAAAAGCGTCTCAAGCCTCGAAGGTTGGTGGGAGCGGGAAGCTCACGAATGGCGGCAACTTTGTCTGGATCGGTTCGGATACCTTCAGAAGTCACAAGGTGGCCAAGATAATGGAGGGAGCGTTTCCCAAATTCACATTTCTCTGGATTTACTCTCAAATTGGCTTCCCTCCGACGACGGAATACCTCTGCCAAATTGTTGAGATGTTCCTCAAAAGTTTCGCCGAGAATAATGATATCGTCTAGATATGCAAAACAGAAATGATCTAATTCGGGTCCTATTATTCGGTGCATCAGTCTCTGAAAGGTAGCAGGAGCGGAGTGTAATCCGAACGGCATTACCCGAAACTGGTAAAGACCCATGCCGGGTACGGTAAAAGCGGTGACGGGTTTGCTACTTTCAGCTAGCGGTATTTGCCAATATCCTTGTTTTAAATCGATGCTAGAGATGTATCGAGCCCGGTGGAGTTTATCCAGAATGGCATTGATGAAAGGCAAAGGGTATGCATCCTTCCTGGAAATGGCATTGACTTTCTGAAAGTCAATACAGAACCGGTACTTGCCATCTTTCTTTCGGACAATTACCACAGGAGAGCTCCACGGACTGGCGGACGGTTCGATGATTCCATCATCTAGCATTTTTTTAACTTCAGTGTTCACGATTTCTTGCATGCGTGGATTTTGCGGTCGGTAACGCTGCTTTATCGGTTCGGGATTTAGTAGATGGACATGATGTTCTACTAAAGGTGTCGTGCCTTTAATTTGTTCAAACTTGGGCAATTGTTGATCTAAAAATTCGGTTAACCTTTGCTCTTCTGTTGGTGTTAAAACGAGGCTCGGTTTAGAATCTATGGGTCCGATAGGACTGCATAGGGTCGAAAACGGTAAAAGCTGATTGCCTAGGTGGACTTCCCCGGTACCTAGGTCTAGATGGAACTGGTGGCGGTTTAAAATATCCATTCCAAGTACGATTTCGGATGTCAGCTTTGGGAAGTAGCTGAGGGATTCTACCAAGGTGATATCTCTGAATTTCAGCGGTATCTGATAGGCTTCGGAGATGTCAATTATACTACCATTGGCTACTTTAGCACTGCGGACAACCGGTGGTACAACGGGAGCAGAATAGCTTTGCAGTGCCTCGACACTCGGTTCTAAAGTGTCCGGTTTCCCCACATCTCCAGCAAAGCTGTCTTGTGGTTCGGTTATCTGCGTTATCAGACCTACGGTTTCGGTTGCCAAATTCCATTCGATTAGGCCTCTTGGTTCGGTCTGGTGTACGGGGTTGTGTTACGGAAAGACCAGCTGGTGGTGAATTCGCTCTTCGGGAAGTGAACGGGACGACTTTTAGCTCGGATAGTAAACTTTCAATTTCCCTTACGGTGCGGGAAAATGAAACCACATCGGTGACGTCACTTTTGCGAATATGCTGCCGGTAGTCGGGTAAGTAGTACAGCAACAGGGGTATGACTATCAAAATCCGACCATAACCTCAATCTTTCATTCTTGACACGTGGTGGATGCGCCGCCGTTGACACGAAGGTGGATGCATCGTCGGCGCCATCTTGTCAAACGTCATGGCGCCATCTAGCGTACATAGTGTGAAGTTCGTAATACAGGATGCTGTAGTTGGGACCCGTAGGACTCCACCCCCAAAAGGGGGCCCACAGGGCTGCGCCCCCCGAAAAGGGGCTCCCCGGATTTTATCATGGGTACCAGAAAAAGGGGTGGGGGGAAACGTTTTCCCGCCATCTTGTCAAACGTCACCTGTCAAACGTCACCTGTCAAACGTCATTTGTCAAACGTCACCTGTCAAACGTCATCTGTCAAACGTCATCTGTCACCTGTGATGACGTCATAGCGAGAGAGTGCGGTGAATTCTTGCAATTACAGGTTCCTGTAATATGGAGTTTGCGTGGAAGGGATTGTTCCGAGTCGTTTCGAAATCGCTACGTATAGTTAATTCTGGTTCAGGTAATTACAGGTTCCTGTAATATGGAGTTTGCGTGGAAGGGATTGTTCCGAGTCGTTTCGAAATCGCTACGTATAGTTAATTCTGGTTCAGGTAATTACAGGTTCCTGTAATATGGAGTTTGCGTGGAAGGGATTGTTCCGAGTCGTTTCGAAATCGCTACGTATAGTTAATTCTGGTTCAGGTAATTACAGGTTCCTGTAATATGGAGTTTGCGTAGAAGGGATTGCTCCGAGTCGTTTCGAAATCGCTACGTATATTTAATTATGGTTCGGGTTCTGTGATGAAGTCATAGCGACCTGAGTCACGTCTGTGGCGTTATTTAGAGTACATAGTCTCAAGTTTTTTTTGTGTCGCATAGCAGGATGCTGTCGGAAAGATAAAAATCAAATGCAATAATTATTGAACTGTTTATTAAAACATTATAGTTTATTAAAATAGATACAATTATTAGTGACCCTATTGATGAATTGATATAATATATACATAATATGAGTTAGAGAGAAATAGATTAATACATAATTTCAAATATACAATTATTATTAGTGACCTTATCGATTAATTGACATAATATATACATAATACAAGTTAGGGAGAAAGAGATAGATTAATACATTTTTTCAAATATACAATTATTATTAGTGACCTTATTAATTAATTGACATAATATATACATAATTCGAGTAAGAGAGAGAGAGAGAGAGAGATAAAATGATACATTATTCCAAATATACAAACAATTATTATTATTGACCTTATAAATTAATTGACATAATACATACATATACGCGTTAGAAAGAGAGAAAAAGAGAGAAAACATATTGATGCTCAACATTACTATACTTTTAATTCGTCCCCAACATCAAGACTATAATGCCCCCAGGGAAGAGTATTGAAGGAATTGGGCACTAAGAAACGTTTATCGTCAGCTGGACTTGGTGCAATTTTTGATTGTTCAATGCTGAACACATTATGTTGAAAAGACCGAATGGTTCTCTGCGTTACGGTACTTTCTTTGAAATTTTTCAAACAATCAACGTAATCTTCAAATGCAATTTTATACTTGACTATATTTTTTTTAACGCCTTTCGATTTTTTCACAACTTTTCCCTTAAGGGTCTTGAAGCTGTACATTTTGGATCTCAGG